AGTCCAACCAAAGATAATTTCATTGTTTTACAACACGACCCCGATGATATCAGTGTTGAGAACACAGTAAAATTCATTCAAGAATTCAGTAAAGCTGGCTATAAATTTATCACGGTCGCCGATTGTTTGAAAAATAAGGTTACCCCCTATAAAGGTGTAGCGGCCAAAACCGCTCAAGCTGTTGCCGTAAATGGAAAGTTTGCTGATGCTAAAACTCCAGATGCTAAAGCACCAGCTAAAGATCCAGCAGCTAAAGATCCAGCAGCTAAGCAACCAGAGGCCAAGGATCAACCAAAAACCAAGAATGATAAACCTAAGAAAAATGATAACGGAAATAAAGAAAAGGATGGTGAAAACAAGAGCGCTTTCCCAGCAACGAACGAAAATGTTGGTGCTGAAGCCAATTCTGCTCCAATAATTAAATCATCCGCACTCGTTTCGTTATTGGGTGGTGCCGTTGGTTTATTATATTTGTAAGAAAAAAAAAAAAACCAAAAAAAAAGGAAATAGTTTGACCATTTTTTTTTTTTTCTTTTATTCTTTCTGTTGCTTTCAAATTAGAGGAACTTAAATTTTTTTTTTTTGCTTTAATTATTATACATAATTGTTTTTAAGAAGATAGACATTTTCTTGTATTTAAATTTAGATATTTTTTCTTTTTTTTTCGGGTGGAAATGTTACCATCATCACATCATTAATCTCGTTTGTAACTTTACCTTCTTTCGTTAAAACCCACGCGAATTTTCTTTTTGGAGTTCATTTTTTTCACATGTATACCATAATTAGTACATATTACTTAGTGTATGAAAATAATAACAAAAAGCCTTTAATAAAACAAATGTACGACAAATTAAATTTTTTGTGTCAAATTGGTGTGTAACCTTGTGGCCTTGTTATTGTTTTGCCACGTTTATTGCGCGCAGTTTAATAACGCCCACATAAAACCAATCTTTACTAAATTTCATAGTAAAGTCTAAATTAGGACGTAAAGAACCATGGATCCGCCTAGTTTTTTTATGGATATAACCATAGAATCCACAAGTTTTGTTTGTTTTGTTTGTAATGCCTGACACAACGAATGCTCGGATCAGATTGCTATCGAAAGCAAAATGGACCTAGCATGAGAAAGTCTCGGAACCAATTTGTCATTGTCCCGCGTATGACGTGCAAAATTCGGGTAATTATTCTATACAGTACCTTTTCAAATCCATTTTGCGAGCTTATAATGACTATAATTAACAAGACAAAACATAATATGATTTTATTCTAATATGTTATATTATAAATAATATATATTAATTAGTTAGTTAATTATTAAACCATTCTAATAGATAGTATAAATAATATAGAGAATTAAAATAGAATAAAATACAAATATTTGTATTCCTAAAAATAAAGAACCTTGATTTTTGATATTTATTAATATCAATATTTAAACATTTCTCTTAAAGTATTTGCTATAAATCCTTCTTATTTTTTGTAGTATTTTGTATATTCTATTTGCCTTTTTAATTCATTTTATCAGATTTATATCTGGACTTTATGCAGATCAAGAAAAGCTATTTATATCTTTTTCTTGCTTTCAATTTTTTAACCATTCTTATAAAATAAATAGAGCATTATTCTTCTGAAAAATAGAATTTTTCTGATTATTTAAAGTATTTATAAATGATGATAAATAGTTTATAATATATTTATCTATATTGTAACTATTATTTTTTTTTTTAATAAATTAAGATTATATTTTGTAATATATTATTAATTCTTGTAAATCTGACTTTACTATAAGAAAAAGAAATAATCTTTTATTTATTTATTTATTCTTTTTATTCTTTAACTTAAAAGATCTTTTTTCTTATTTATTTATTTATTATAAAAGATTTTCTAACTTTATTTTAATTGTAAAATCCTTATTCATAAAATAATTATTTATACTCTTTTCATTAAAATAAATGAAATTTATAAAATTCTTATATAATTACTAAAAATTTATTTTTATTTTTTTTTTTTATCCTTGAATAAGATCATTAAGTTTAAAAGAAAAAGTTTCATAATCAAAATTTTTGTAAATAAAAATTAAATTATAAATAATATTTTAAAATAATTTATAATTTCATCATTTAATTTACATTAATAATTTTTCATATTATAATTATTAAAACTTTAATTTATAAATATTACCATTTTTTTAAAAATAATTATTATAAATATATTATTTTATTATATTTTATTAATCAATAAAATAGTTTTTTATTATCTTTTTATATTTATTTAATATTCTGAATTTAATTTTATCTCTTTAATTAATTATTTTTTAATTATTGTATTTCTTATTTTATTTTTATAAAATATTATCTTATTTATTTCTGTTTTCTAATTTTTTATTATTTTGCTTATTTTTTGTATAAATTATTTGATTTATTTTTTTAAACATAATTTTCAAATTTTATATTTTAATTTTACATTTCTATTTTTTATATTCACTTTTTACTTTTTTTATTTTTATTTCTTAATTTTCAAAAATCCAATATTATATTTATGTTTCAATTATTTTAATAAATTTTTTATCTTCTTTGTTAATTATTTTCTTTTACATTATTAAAATTATATTAATATTTTTTTGTTATTGTTAATATTATTCTAAATTTATTTTTAATAATATTAATTTCTTTAATTTATATTTTATTTTTCTTTTTATTATTTTTTATTTATATTTTAATTTTTATATTTTATAAAATTTTTTTTTTATAATTTATATTATAAAAACTTCTTATTAATATTTTTTGTATGACTATTTATATAACTTTTTCTACATATTTATATTTACATTAATTATATTTTAATCTTTTATTCTTTATAATTCTTTATTCAATTAATTATTTTTTAATTAAGTAATTTGTTAACCTTTTTTAATTAAATTTTTAATTCTTTATTTAATTCTTTTTTTAGTAAATAATTATTCTTTTTTTCAATTTAACAATTAATTATTTATTTATATTTAAATTATATAATTTAAATTATTATTTATTAATTATTTCTTTGATTAAATGTTTTTTCTTTTTTTTATATTCTAAGATCTTATAATATTAAAAACAGAAAGTTTATTTTTTAATAATTATATTTAAACAAAAAAAAAAAGATTTATAAAGAGTAATAAAAATTAAAGATAAAATTAATAATAAAATAATTGATCAAAATTGATTTAAAAGATAAATAAAAAAATTACAAAACTGGTATCATTTTTTGAATATTATAAAAATTATTTAAGTTTTGTTATTTTAAAGTTTATAATAAAATCTTTTTTTTTTTCTATTTTGACATCTTTTATAAGAGATTGATTACATATTTATAATGTTGTTCTGTATTCATTTTTTTGAATTTCAACCACTTGTATTAGGTAAAATAAAAGTAAATACATTGTATCTTACTTATTAAAAGTTTTTTTTACTTTCTTTTAAAATTCTTAAACCTCTTGAATAGTTATTTTCTTCTTCTATAATTGTTAAAATATAATTTAATATAGTATTGTGATAATTACAAGCAAGTTTTCTGCTTTATTATTATTACACCTATTTTCTAAAGATCTATTCAACAAGTTTGATTGAAAGCTATCACTTTTTTAATTTCTTTCATTATAAAAAGATAAAAAAAATTCACTGATTTTAGATGATTTTATCAAAGATTTATCATTAAAATCATTTTTATTATGTTCTAAATTGATTTTTATGTAATAAATTTTTGGCATTCGCAACCCTTTTTGAAGCAGTCAATATTTCAACTGATATCATACATCTCTTAAATTTTGCTTGTACTTCAGGTTGAGATTTTTGAGTATTTATGTTTATCAAAAAATTTTTTTTGATGCAAAATGCAAAGATTCATAGGGATGTTAAACGGTATCAAATTATTTACAAATTTAGAAATTTCTAGTTAAAGGAAAGTTTAATCGCTTTTCTATTAATAAGTGTACCTTTTGTTAAAAGTTTGTTATAATAAAAATTTTATGAAAAGGGAAATGAAATTTGTGATCGCGAGACGGTAAGTTGGAACTCAGTCCTTAGGACCCGATCCTAAATTTCAAAAAGTCATAAATATAATGCCAGTAAAATAAATATCTTCGCTAGGACTAAACTATATTGGGACTAGATTAGTAACACGAGAATGAGATTTTATTCTAGAATGTTCGAAAATGATACTGAATGTTTAAACTTGGGCGAAGAATAAATAAAGATCACAAAAACAGCCCGTTTACTTAGCCTTTCATATTACAAAAATTTTTTTTTTTTTTTTGATTTTCTTCTATAAAAAAAAAATGAAAATATGTATTTATATATACATATATAGAGATATTTGTACATACCGCGAAAATAATAATAATAGGAAAAATATGAGACAAGGAAGGGGAAAAAAAGAAAAAGTCAAAGATAAAAAAAAGAAAAGGGATATATAAATCTCAAAGGAAAAAAAAAAAAAGCTATACATGTAAAAAAGGGGGGATGATTTAAAGGAGAATATGAGAAGTTTACACGGTTTTTTCGGTTTTTTTTTTTTTTTTTTTTTTTTTTTTTTTTTTTTTTTTTTTTACAATTTTACATCTATTACACAAAATGAGTTAAAAGAAAGAAAAAAAATGACATGACCAGAACAAAAGGAATGTGAAATGTAATTTATGTAAGTAATAAACCAGCAAATCTATAAAAGGACGAATAAAAAGAAAAAAAAAGCAAGTGAATTAATTTACTAGCTGTGTTTATAATAATATATACAAAATGAATGTGACAATGAATTATAAAGATTATTTGATAGCAAGCCAGAAATATCATGATTAATGTTTTACGTGTGTGAATCGGAGAAAATTTCTGTGCTTATTTCTATATGATAAAAAAAAAAATTTTTTTTGTTAAGCGTACAACGGTCTTCATACGCGACATTAAAGTTAGTAAAATTAAAAAATATATATATAGATACCAGGGAAAGAAGGGAGAAAAGAAAAAATTTACTCACAATAATAATCTATCACTCCATTTTTTAACCAAGAAACCCCAATACTTTGGATTTGACTTCAATTTTTGACACCCCAATGATTCATACAATTTCAACTGTTGACGAAATCCTAAATTCGGACTGTAATTTTTTTTCCAAATCGTGTGAATATATATATCCTTTTGAAACAAGAAACGAACAGAATACTTACCAGATTATAGGACGTTTGGAAATAACGAATTCGAGCGCGGCTTCGAATGTCATTTTGCGAGTTTTCATAATATACGCAATCATAACTAATAAAAATTAATTCGAAAGAAACATGTGAATGAATGCTTTATGTTTGATTAGCCAAACGCTTAATTAACCTTTTTACCTGTTGGGGCTCGAGAAATTCCAGCTTGGCTACAAAACGTAACAGAATTACTTATTAAATAGCTTGGTAAAAACCGAATCAAATACATATTTATTCATTCATTTACCAATGAATTAAGATATTTCCTTTGTCCTCTTGTAAAGCCGAATGAATAAATTTATGCGTATTTTCAAAGTGAACAATTATATTTTGGGAGCCAAAATCACGAATGGGGATTACTTTATATGTATAAGACTTTTTTTAAAAAGTTATATTAGAAAAGAATGTTCCTTTATTTTTTTTTTAAAAAAAAAAAAAAAAAAAAAAAAAAAAAAAAAATTGACAAATACCTCTGGATAAGCTGGAGTAATTCCGTCAGAAATGGTAAGGATATGGGTAACGTTATGATCTTCTAACCAAGCTTTATCAGTAGCTGCCATTTGACTGTTCAATAAATCAAAAATTTTCTTTATTATTATCTCTTCTTTATGTTTTATTACCAATGAACTTATTTTATTACATGGTCCACAACTTACGTTCCCAAATAAACTCTAGGAAAAATTTCCGAGGCAAACATCTTTTCTAAATAAGCATTTTGATGCTCGTTCATTTGAAAATTTTCATTTTTCCACGAAGCAACGACACTCCAGCCAGATAAATTTATCAAATTATCTTGAGGTTGTTGTAATGATAAAGAAACGTTAGTTGTTTCTTGATCCGGATTGGAAGAAGATTCTTTGTTGGTTGTTAAAGGAGCTGAAGTGTTTAAAGTTGTATCTGTCAACGTTAAACGATGATGGGCGTTCGGTGAGGTGGTAGTAGAAATATTGGATGTCTCGGTAGCATTTATTAGATTGGTAGTAGAATCAAATGGGGTATTTGATTCACCTTCAATCGCAACATGACTTGAAATGATTTCTTGAGAATGCATTTTGATATAAATATTTTATTTATTTTTAATTTTTTTTTTAAAAAAAAAGGAAAGAAAAAAAAAAAGCTCAATGAAAGAGAGGCAAATCGTTAAATTATAAACCGCTTTATTCTCAAAGGAAAAAAGGGGGGAGAGGGGAATAATGCTTCTTTCAGCTAAAAAAAAAATAAGAAAAAAAAAAAAAAAATATTGTGAGAATCAATAATAAGTTTCTTTGAAATGTGTTATTATTTATTTTTTTTTTTTTTTATATGCGTCCACAAAACTGCTTATTAAGTAAGGACTTCTTGTAAAACACCAGTCCTTTTTTAAAAAAAAAAATTTTTTTTTTAAAAAAAAAAACAAAAAAAAACAAATACTATGAAAATCCTTTCTTTTTGACTCCTATATAATAAGTCGAATACTTTTAATATGGGACAACACGTGGGTTATATGATTTAATTTTATTTCGCCGATCTATTTCCAAATCCAATGAACGAATTATGCAACGTGATATAAAGAAAAATACAATAAAAATAAATTTGTCCTTACACATCAAAAAGTTCTTTGTCTTTAAACATTTTCACCTACAAAATCTTGTTATAAATCTTGTTTCTTGATTGGAGTTACATGTTATACAAAAACATATTTGTTTTCATCTTTTTTTTTTTTTAACCTACCAGAATTGTTTGACTTTCAAGGAACTGCTAATCTTAGTGGACACCAATGCAACAACGTGTGACTTTATTTATTTTTATATTCATTACGTTGTGAGTAATCCGTGATACCGATGACACGTACAGTTTTTTTACTTTGTACGTTTGCATGGTATTTATGTTGACCAATCATGTCCCAAGCTTGCAACAAGAAACCAGGCGCAGCAATTTATGGTCTGACTCGGAAAAACACCAAAGACGAATTGGATTATCACAGTTTTAACAATCATGCCATAAAACTCCAAAAAAGTACATTTATGCAAGGAAAAAAAATAAATTTTTTATTTGTATTACCAAATCTTTTTGAAGATTTTCCGTACCCAGTCTATTTATTAATTTTATTTTTTTGATTATTTCTAAAATTACATTAAAGATTATGTTAAAGAAAAGTTCCCAATAATAATATTATTATTAAAAAAAAAAAAAAATGAATATGAAAAAAATGCGAAAATGATAATGATTAATAAATGAGATGCTTATGTGATTGGAAAGAAATGATACATGGCTAAAAAGTTAGGGATTTAGCAATGCGTTCATTTATGAATGCGGGGTAAAGTTATTGCTTAGATGCTTAGATGATTTTTGATGTGAGTGAAAAAAATTTTGTGGGAATTTTCTAAAACTAGTCTAAAGAATATTTTTAATATTTTGTACAAAAATTCTACCAGTCTATGTTGCGTGTATGTTACAAAAAAATAATGATTGAAAAATGCAAGTTAAAAAAAAAATGTATGTAAAAATGCAAAAGAAAAAAAATAAAATTTTTTTTTTTTTTTTTTCTCAGAAAAAAAAAAAAATCCAATGAAATGTTCAGTATCCGTTGATTTTTGAAGAGGTGGTTTTGATTAATTGTTTATACTTTTGTTTTAAACCAGCCCCAAATCTTTGTTTGGCACGATATTTACTGGCCATTGAACGAGTAATACCGCGGAAGCTAACCCCAGAAGAATAATCTGAATCTTGACTTTCGCTATCCTCGCCAGACATTCTTAATTCGGTATTACCGGCCTCAATTAAAAATTGATTGAAACTGCTTGTTTGCATCAACTCAAATACTTGATGGGTAACAGGGTCAAGTATGGAAGGGTGATAATTATTATATTGAAAAACATTTGACAACAGGTCATCTCTAGTCGTTGAGACGATATTGATCTCTCTTGGTGAATTTGGCAAGATGAATCTGGTGAGCAACTCGTGAAGTTTTTGCTTGAGAAAATCTAAATGAGCTGGAGTATCGCCGCGTAACGAGGCGTCATCAAAATAATAATTATCGGATGTTATTTCAGCAGCTTCTGACATTAAAAGCACCGGAACCGAGGTGGAATTCGAATTAAAATAATTGTTGGCGTGATATCGATATCTTTTCACTGCCAACCAAAATTCCAGATTCTCCAAACAATAAGTTTGATCCAAGAAGGTTGCGAAATCATCTAATGAATATGGATACGACGTTTCATTGTTGAGTACGTCCACAAGTGTTGGTTTGGTGATATTGTTCGCCAGCGAATTCATCATGTTTTTTTTTTTTATATATATATATATTAGTTTTTTAGGTGTAAAAATATGTGATTATGATTAACTTCTACAAAAGTTTTTTTTTTTTTATTATTATTATTAATTTTTATGATTGTTTATATTCAGATGTTAATGTTTTAAAACGATTGTAGAAAGTTAGATATTCTTTTTGGAATTTATTTAAAAGAATGTTGAAGTTAGAGATTGAGTTTGAGCCGTATATATATAGTATTTCTGAAAAGGGGTAATTGTTATTGTGTAAATGATCCACTTTTCGGATCTACATCATTCCATCCTAATAATGTGGTTTAATGTGCCACGATGAAACAAAGATGGACAAATTTGATGCAGAGTTACGACAAAGGAACAATACAAACAACAAAAATTTTCTTTTTCACATTCTGTTCAATTGGAAACAAAGAAACACTCCTTTTTACCATCGATTACACAAAGCTTATAAATAACTTTTTTATATATCTTTCATACCTATTATTGGTATACCTTTCACATTTGGTTTTCTCCGATATAGCAGGAGAACAAAAATTTGTAGGATGGACCGTTCTTCATTTTAGCAATAATGAAATTTTTTCAAAACGAAAATATCTTTTCTAATAACAAACGTAACAAAGGGTTGACTCGGAAGGTATTGTTCTCATTTGCCACCTTGTAAGACGGGGAGGATGTCTTAATAGTCGGATTTGTGTTTGCGTAATGAAATCAGCTGTTAAAAATAAGTACATTTGTAATTGTGTTTCCCTATATATGTATTTTATTAAATTAAATTAAATTACTATATCTGTCTCGTCATATCTCGGCACGGCATAATATGGCAGTGCATTGCTGGAAATAAAAAAAGAACGTTCGATTCATTGAGCCACTCAATCCGGTTTCTCACCCTTAACATCATGCTATAAAACTTTAATCTGTATTTTTCAATAACCGAAACATATACGGAAATTCCCGCCGCAGTCAACTCTCGCCACTTTTTCATGATTTTCTATGATTTCATTAAAGATTTTATTTATTACATTTGACAAGTTCGGTTAGTGTAATAATGAATGTACAAGCTAAGCTGTCTTGTGGATATCAAAGAATCTATACAACGTCTATAAACGTCTATAAAACGGGCGAATAAATTATAAAAAACAACATTGAATATTTTCTCTTAAAATTTTATATACAAAGTGTAATATGATTTGGGAATTTTAAGATATAAATGACGCAGGGAATGAAATAAATACAACTCTAGGAGAAATGATAAAATGTTTAGAAAAAAAATGAATTCAACCTGATTTCTTTATCTATTTCTTTATCTATTTTTTTTTTTTTTGTAATAAATTTAAATTAAGGATTTACTACACGTAATTCCTGTTTATTGGCTACAAATATGCTTTCTCTCACACTTTGTATTTCTCCATCTAATTCAAGGCTAGATTTTGACTCACCATTCGCCCCAGCACCGCTAGTCCCGCTGGTGCTGGCATGATTTTCAATGTCGTTGATTTTCTGTAGATAATTTTCTGGATCATAATGATGAGACATGTTCTCGTCAATGGTAAATCTAACTTTTGGTTTCCCAGATATTATTATACCACTCTCAGAATGTGACGGCGTATGTGTGCCATAGGAACCTATCGTATAAGGTGTCGATGGACCCGTCGAAATCGCCGGTGAAGTTGGATTATTTAATACTTCCGTGGAATCATGCTTCCTGCCATCCTTTCGACCCAAGCAGAGGAAAGATGGACGACGTGACCTTTTGATGGTTTTGTTACGTGCCGTTTCTTGAGGGCTGGTAATTGGATTGTCGTTATATGGGACGGCCACCAAATCATCCCCTCTATCACGTCTTCGCTTCTTAATAATTTTATGAATGGTAAATGCTATCACGCCCACAAATAATAACACTCCTATTACTGATAAGGTTATGATATAAGGTAAACATTTCACCGATTTATGACCCTTATCATCATGATTAGGATCCGTTTCGTTCTTCACTGGAGTGACCTCGTCATTGTCCAATGGTAGATCCATCGGAACATAATCGATAAGCCAATCCCAACTTAAAATGTTTAAAATGTAAACGTTTGAATCTGCATCAGCACCGGTTTTACCGAATGCAACGATCATGTTGGCACCAACAAGCGTCGCGGTGTGACCTCTTCGATTTGATGGGGTATTGGTTGTGACGGGAGACGTCCATGTCCATGTGGTCGTATCCAAGACCGCCACATCCCCGTATAAATTCGTATTCGTGATATCCGATCCACCGTAAATTATAATCTTCTTGTTTGCTACCACGGCGGAATGTTGCCCTCTTGAAGCTGGGATTTGTCCGGTCGCAATATTCTTCTCCCAAATACCTTTCTCCAAATCAAAGGCATAAATTTCACTCATGTCATACAAAATTTCATCGGTGACCCCTCCAATCACGATCATTTTATTGTCAACTATTGATGACGTATGGAATATCCTTGCCCCTGGTGAGTTATCTAATACGGGGTAAGCCTTCCATGAATTTAATGTATTTACATCTAACCCCCATAAATCTGACGTTATCACTCTATCTGGGCTCCCCGTCAATCCATCGATCAGCCCGCCATAAACCCACATCATCCCTGATGGACCGATTGCGGCGGAATGTTCATACCTTCTGCTTGGACTTCCTTGTGGTAATTTTGGATCAGCCCATTGACCATTTGTCGTATCATAAGTCCATAAATTACTCATGACAGCGCTAGCCGGGTCATCTACGCCACCACCGAATATTATAATTTGATCATTATTTAACCCTCCATACACTGCCGAATGTCCTATGGTTTTTGGCGCTCCCGTGCTATCTAATTGAACCCACTCCGGGTTTAAGGTCGAGAATGGTTTTGATACGTCTAACCTTACGAGCTCCGTTATGAAAACATTCCCATCCGTCCTACCCCCAATATAATATATGTTTGAATTTATTAACGTGGCCGAATGTCCCCATCGTACTACTAAATTTGATGTGATTACCGGAAATCCCAATGTGGGATTTATGATCATTATGGTGGTCGTTAAGATCAACTTTATCAGCCTTTTCATCATATTTGTTTTTTTTGTATATTTCGGTTTATTAATGTTGTTAAATTTATCTATCAAATCGTTTCGATTATATGTGGTAAATGATAAATTCAAAAGCGAGAGGATTTGGATGAGGGAAAAAATCCAGTTGGTATAAGGGTTGTTGGTAAAAGATAAACCGAAACGTTCTTTTTCTTTTTGTCGATCTTCACCCCCTGACGTTGGTGAAGTGGCCCCCCAAAAAAAGAAAAAGTCAATTAAAATAAAAAAAAGGAATGAATTTTGTCTTAAAAAAGACAAGTGAAAGGAGAAGGAAAAGAGAAGAAGGGAAAATTTTAGAGAACGTAGAAAAAGATTAAAAGACAGAATAAATGTTCATTTTTTTTTTTTTCCTTTGAAATAATGAAATATTTATATATATATGCATAATAATTTAACAATGTGCGTGTTAGTTACTAGATATTGATTGTTTTGTGTAATCAAAATCTCTTTATTTGTCACTCTAAGAAATAAAAGAATAACATTTTTAACTCCAAGTTTCTAAATATATAATAAAAAGTAAATTTTAATTTAAATATAAACAAAGGGCGAATGATCCGGTTGAATTATAAAAATGACTTACATATTTTGAATTTATTAAGTAACTTTGACCCATTATGATTGATTCACATACATCACATATGCCTTACTTTTTTTGGGAAGTTTTAATTAATTCTTGGACCATTTAAAATATTGTGTCATAATTGGTTTTGGATGTGATGTATCTTCATTGTGCATTCACGTTTTAAAAGAATAAGGCGTCATTTTTTTTTTTTTTTTTTTTTTAAAAAAAAGAGAAAATCCCCAGATAAACTGACCGGACGGATTGTCATCCAACATCATGATAGATATCGATGGGTTGGTACATTTATTTTTATCTCTTCTTTTTTTTTTTTTTTTTTTTTTATTATTATTATTATTATTATTTGTATTGTGATCAATTCCCTTCCATTTATGTATTAGCTGAAGATACCTCAGTTTATTTATTATTGTTAACCGAGGAAACACAAACCTTGCAAGACTCCATTTCTGAAAGGTCAAAGGTTTTTCTTGACATTCACATTTATTGTTTTTCGTAATCAATAAACGAGCGATAAAAGTCATAAACGTTCATCAACGCTGGTTAATAAGTTTATAACATCAGATGGGAAATGGACCTTTGTTTATTTATTTATTTATTATTTATTTATTTTTTTGTTTTTTCCTAATTGAAGAAACGATTTATGAACGTTCATACAAAGAATGTTCGGGTAACGCTCTTACATATTCCTACATGTTGACCTAGCACCACCGGGCGTTGTGATATCGAATTAGTAAGATAATCGCTAGTTACCTAATCCATGACGGAACATCTTTCTATTTTGAAATTCATTGGTATGGACTGCAAATATCCACAAATAGGTTTATTCTCATTGTTATCTTCATAAAAAGGTTCGGCAAATTGATAAGCCGATATTTTCGATTATTATTTTAATTTTACAGTTCCATGCCAAATGGGAGTAACTTTTTAATTTACATTTTGATTTATTTTATTTTATTCTATTTTTTTATTTTATTTTTATTTATCTTGATGATAGTGATAGGAAAAATCTACTATGTGAAAAGATGAAAATTAATAAATGGTTTAATTGGTCCCATTAGAAAAAAAAAAAAAAAAAAAAAATCTCTTATGTGCCAAATCAGTTTATCGCGAATCATTATACGATTTAACACTGGTCACAGAGGTTCTTTGTGATATATTTTCAAACGTTAAAAATCAAATTGAACTAGATTTAGTTTGGTAAAACTGAATCAATCATATGGGTAGATATGAAAGTTATCTCATCCATTGAACCCGTCCTAACCTAAACGGGATAAATCTAAACCTTCGTTGGAAATTGATTCCTTCCTGCAACAAAAATCGCTTTGTCACAATTGAGCTTAATATAGTAATTTGGCAATGGACCCAAATTTTAAATCTAAAAAAATTTTAGATGGATGTCCATTGTTCAAGTTTTGTGTTCTTTGTCAAATCGTATGATATTTAAGAAAAAAAGATCAAGAAAAAAGGGTTTAGCATCTTTATTTTGAGCACATGTTTTTTATGTGAAAATTTCCGACAAATTAACGCAAAAAGGAAAAACCTTTTTTTTTTACCCTTAAAATATGAAACCCAAATAAATGAAAGTCGGGATGAAATAAATATCATTACTTAAGCAAGTTTCACGTAATTTATGAAGGAATTGATTGGTCGATTAGAATCCCAACCCGAGGAAACGTCACCCTTTTTTTAAGACTTTCTCATTTCCATCATAGTACGTAATCGTCACGGTAAGATTCTGTAATTTACCCGTATTTGCCTTTTAAAGGCCATCAATACGAGAATCACGCGTCCGAACGGTATTTTAAAGATAATATATTGTCCCCATTATACCTGTACCTTTTATGCATGTAACTTTTGTTCACGTTCTCTAACCTGGAAGCTTTGGTATTACAGGTATACAAGAAAAAAAAAAGAGGTTCATTATCTTAATCTGCGTGAGAAATTTTAAAATGGATATATAAATTCACGTTAAAATTATGCTGGTTGACAGTAGGGATAAAAAAAAAAAAAATTACAAAGCAAAAAGAGAAAAAAAAAAAACCCCCCCCCACCAACCTTTGACTATCCTTCATTATTATCATTTTTTTTTTTTTTTTTGTTTTTGGGTTTCAGTGGTTATTTATACCTGTTATAACTGTAAGAGAAAAACCTACCATGAAGCAGTTTCATGCTTATAAATCTTTTTGTTTGTCAATAAAATTATTATTTTGTTTGACTAACGTCTAACGGAAAAACCTTGCTCTTTTTAATAGGGATATTTCGACTGAACGAACCCCTTCCCTTTCACTTTTATCCTATCCTATCCATATAAAACACCAATTAATCCCGTTCCTTGTACCTATTTCTTTTTTGTTAACTTTGCAGCTAAAAGTCTAACTTTACTTTTTATCATATATATATATATATATATATTTGTTCATTTATATACGAAACAAAGGAAAATTTCTTTCAATGGGAATTACCTATTCAGCTAATGGAAGACGTCTCCCTGCATTGAAAGGCAGAAAAGGTTCCAAGAAAGATCATAACCTTCCTGACGAATTGGTTTTCGAAGAAGCAAATTTCGCATGGCAGCATGGTCGTCGCGTCTTGGACGAAACAGATTCCCTCTTTGAGCAAGGCAGCGAAGAGGTAAAGGGTTAAAATAGATTGAGCTCAATAAAACGAAATAAAAAGAATCGAAATTTTCTAATAAAGGTCTTTCAAAAAATATATTCTCCGCCTTATATAAATTCTGAAAACAACAGACGAGTAATATATACCTCCGGGTATGTAAGATCATTGAAATATGAAAGATTTATGTATGAAAAATAACCATAAAATCAAAAACTTTAGACGCATCAGGTTTTTAAATATATCTTGGGAGGAAACACGAGAACACCTATAACCCCGGAAATGCAGGTAACATGCACATTTCAATCGGTTCGTTGTTACACCATTCACCCTAATTTGGGTTTATACAATTTTCCTAATTTATATCTTATGAAAGGGCTGCTTGCATCTTGGGTAAGTAAATTTCATCAGATCAGGTGAATAAATGAATGAATGAGTGAATGAGTGAATGAATACATTTATTAACTATTATTAATAGCACGGGTCATTTTATTTGGTTGATTGAGATGGCCAAGTAAGAAAGATTACTATCAATCATGTTTTATTATTTATTTATTTTTTTTTTTAAAAAAAAAAAAATTTAAAATTTTCCCACGTGCATTTGTAACAATATCAGCGAACATCAAGGTGTCCGATTTGAAGGGTTTGGTATGATTAACCCCAGTGACCTGACAGAGCTGCCTCCGAACGTGAATTTAACTTCCGGAGATCTCCTCAGTAAGCAAAGCGTCTCAAGTTGCAAAGTATTTGACTAATTACTAAAACGAATTTCATTTATTAAAAAAAAAAAAGAGAAACTTCCCTATCCAAATGCAAGTTTCGATTACGTAAACGGTAAGCCACTATTGTTCGATATATATATGTGTGCGCGCGCATACGTACATACATACATAACACTTTTTTTTTTTGAATTTTATTAGTCAGATGCCTTTTAACTTTGTTACCGAGCAAGCAGATCCCTTTCGCGCTTTCGGAAATAATCCGAATTTGCAAAACGAATGCACGCATTGAATTTTTGGTAATTTATTTTTAACGTGCTTTTTCAAAGAAAAATTATATTTCTCATATTAAATTACAAAGAGTAGCAGTCGTTTTATTAAAATAGCTCCTCTTCAACTTTTTAGGAAGTGGACATATTTATAAAGTAAGTTCATGGGTACGTGTTTGCCTATTTGGTCGAAAAAGGCGTTAATCCTTCCATTTGCATAAAAAAAGAAATGCAGGCCCATATTATGAAAATTGTTTAGGGAATATCTGGCGTCAAATTTGTAAAGAGAAGGATTACAACCCAATCAATTCAGCTCATCTGACAAATCTTTTGTTAAAACGAGGGTTGGTTGAAGTAAATTGTTCAAGATTATCCATACCCCTTGGCGAGTACGGAGGAAAAGTAAATAAGACTAACTTATCATCATCATTCTTTTTTTTTTAAAAAAAAAAAAATTAAAAATTTTATATATTTATAATATTTTTTCTTGTAGGTTGGTGTTATGAATGCAAAACAATTCATCGATTCTTCCAATGCCATCGCAGCGAATTTAAAGATGACTCACGATGAGATGCAGGAATATCTTCTCAGGTGCGTGGACGAATTTAATCGACACCAGTCATATCACAATGCCTACCTAATTTGTGCTAGAAAAGGTTAGCACTAAAAAGAAAAAAAGAATATAATATAATATATATAATAATAATAATTAATACAAAAAAAAAAAAGAAAAAAGAAAAGTAAAAAAAAATTATAAAT